TATGCTACGTATGTATGGTTCCCGGTGATTCTCTCACGATGATCCAAGATGATCAAGTATGACAATTTGATATGCAATGTGGCGATGCTATGGCTATTGCTTGCAAACTCTTTGTTTTCCTTCTTCTTTTGCTTAAAAGCTTTTCTCACTTTTGATATTTTCCTTCGGCCATTTATGCAAAATGCTCGAACCAAGATAGCAATTATGTATATGCGGGAACATTTATGACACAAGAGTTGATCCGATGATATATGCACACTATGATAGCTATGCGGAACGTGTATCACTGAAGTTCACAAGTAGCGTTACCTGGCAATACTTGACGGCTAGTCTCGGTAGGAAACACAAAATTGGCTCGGGGTTAACAATGCAATGGCCAGGGAGATGTACTATGATTGTTGTCGAGGTTACAATCCTTGCTTACGGTTTGGGTGTCAAAATAGTGAAGTGGTTGTTGTCGAAGTGACTCCGTGGAGAAATTGAGCGGCGGTGATGTCGATGACGAACCGTTCCTAAGTAGTCGAAACACGTTAGGATACGGAAACCGCAAACTCAAATTCTCAAATGGCAAAGGTGGCAAATTTGCGGTTGGTTGCGGAAGTCGGTGGTGGTTTGCAGAAGATGGGAAAACGGTCAAAATTCGACAAAGTGGGGCGGTGGTGTAGATGTTGGCTGCGAGGTGCCGGATGTCCGGGCGTCTGGCCGGGGGTATGGGCTGGATGTTTCAGGTTGAAGATCCTTGGATGAACTTCGTGGAAGAACTTGGGGGACGAAAAATTTCGAGCAAAATTTGAGAAATTCCGTGGATGGAAATAGTAAGGAAGAGGGAAGCTAGATCCGCCTGCAACACTTCAAATCCATGGATCAAAATCAACAAAACATCATCAAACCAACAAATCACAAAAAAATTGGTATGGCTATTTTAGTGGGGATTTTTGAAATTAGGCAAAAACAAACAAAATCGGGGCTAGAAAGTGGAGGGGTAGGGACTCGAAGATGTGAATCGACCTATGCTCTGATCCAAGATGATGTAGGGTGGAACCCTAAGTTCATGATCTTTTCACACTTGGAGGGGGGAAAGAGAGCAAATCAAGAGAAAAACACAAGATGAGCACTTAAGTAGACAAGATCCAATCACACATATGCTAATTCCACATACACATAGAGGGAAATCCGACACAAGAGGGTAAAAGAGGAACTAGTTCATCCCAATCTTCGAAGGAGAGAGGTCTTGAATCCAAAAGGATATTCCCTAAGAAGGGGTCTTGAATCCACTCATGGGATCATCTCACATGGAGGCCTTGAACTCCATGGGAGTGGCAAGTGGATGAGCAAAACTCAATCTCAAATGAGCTAAACCTTTGCTAACCCTAGTTAGGAGGAGAGGGTCTATATATAGTGTTCCATGAGATGAGAGGGGGAAAGAGGGGATACACGGGCCCGGTTAAGCAGTGGCAGGTGTCGGATGCCCGGGCTGGGGGCCGGATGTTCGGTGGCTTGTGTCGGGCCGGATATCCGGGCTGGGGGTCGAATCTCTGGGCTGGAGCTGGCCAAACTTCTATGGCTCTCGGGTGTGCTTGGGCCGGATTTTCGGGCGGGGGCCGGATGTCCGGAGCAATCAGGCCGGATGTCTGGGCGGGGGCCGGGTGTTCGGGTCATGGGACTTCGCGGCGGCTGCTCTGTTGCGGTTGCTTTTGGGCTGGGGCGCCGGATATTCGGGCCAGGGGTTGGATGTCCGGCCGTTGTAGACTTCAGCGGTCTCCTTCGTCGTGCTTCATCGTTCGTGTACTTGGGGACTTGGTCTTCATTCCGCGCATTTCCGGGGTGGTCTTCCTCGTACCTAAGCACACATAGCATTCCTGCTTGAGGTAGTAGTCATGTCTCACGTGGGTCATACGGAAGCTCATTGAGGAGAGATGTCGCCTCGGTCTCGATAGCTCTTGCACGTGCTTGTGTCATCGGTCCACTTGGCACTTGGGAAGATGAAGGTAGGTCCATGGGGATAACCGTAGGATGCTCCGCATTACCGGGGCTTCTCGTCTAGACCCCAAATAGTATGACGACTTGGCCCGAACAGTCCGACCACCTATGCTGGCTCGGGCGAGGCGTGACCCGGGCTATGTGGCTCGCTGTTCGGGTGCTCTCGGTCTACGATGCTGGCGAGAAGTCCCAAAGCTGGACAGTCGGGCTGTGCTGCCGCGTTTGTCCTCGGCCTGCTCCGTCTTGCGGTTTTGTCTCGGCTTCTACACTGAATGGTGTAGTAGCTCTTGCCCATTATCTCCTCCATTGCACATACGTCGTTTGGCTCGAACCTAAAGGTGCAAAACGTAGTAGGGTCAAGTAGTATACCACCCTCGAAAGTAGCAAGTAGACACGCATAAAGGAGAAGATTCACCTTTGTATTGATGGTATGCGTGTCACTTGACGTTGAAGCTCTTGACATGGTGATGACACTAGGATGCCCCGTATCACCCCCTCAAGGAGAGTCGTGCCCGATTTGGAAGAGTTATCTCCATGGGAAAGGAATCGATTGGAGACCTTGGTCCCCGCCCCCCACGTGTGAAAGAGAGTTATCCTTGACGAATGGGAAGGAGATAGACCGGCGAGTGTTTACTTCACGCTCACCATGTGCTCATCATCTTGATCCTTATGTGGACACTCTCCAATGTTGCTCCTCTATTCATGAGATGTATCATGCAAAAATAAGGAAACAACAATTATTTGTAGCCGATTCATGAAAGCTCATATTAAGATCGCTCAAAGGGAAGGAGTTATACCTTAGGAATATGCCTTTGAGCTCGTCGAGTAAGATCTTGGCGCGAAGATGTATACAATGTGCATGTGACAAATATGCGGAGAGCCCCTTAGACTTCGGGGAAACTGTACAGTCTACGTGGAAACATAATATAACTCTAGCACCCCCCTCAAACTCTTGATGGATCTGCAACACTGAGTTTGGAGGGTGTGGGCCTTCGTAAAGAAACCCGCCAACTATAACTCGAAAGACACAAACTAAAGAGCAATAACCTGATCCTGCCCACCTGAGCGCACAAAAGAAGCATCAACACCAATACAGGGGCGGCGCTAGGGGTATTCTTTGGTCTTCATGTGAATACCCATGATTTTTACAAAACAGTGACAATTTTCGAAAAATAACAATGATTTTGGCAAAATGAGTACACATGAATACCTGGTTGCAAATTCCTGGAGCCGCCAGCTTGGTGAGCTCATGCTTCACAAGGTTGCGTGCAATACTTGTAGCACCTATACTGTCTGACAAGAAGGGAGTATGTGACAAGAAGGGAGTATGTGTAATGACAGAAACACCAAACTACAGTAACCAAGTCACCTCTACAATCAAAAGAGCCATAGCTCCTCTACGCTTGCACGGTAAAATGGTGTCTGTTTCTTTGTCTTCTAGGCAATGATGTAACGCCTTGGGAGTGCACTATACAGATCTAGCACTTCCGCTAGCAAATGCATAGTATCGACCCCAGGACGCCCACCAAACACAACGTGCATTCTATATCCATACACGCAACATGCATGCTATTTGGCTGGTATGGCAGGTATTGAAACACAACTCTACAAAAGATTTGCAACAAAATATATACAATGACTCCAACGAGTCAAATTTAACAACTCCAACAAGTCAAATTTAACAAGGGTCTTTCGACCAAGTTGCAGCTATCACAACGGAAGCAAAAATATACCTTAGACAGGTACAATTTAACAAATGCCTTAAGAAGGCTTAAAGAAAAGCAGATAATGTTCATAACCCTTCCTAGACCACTGCCTGTGATAACCATAGCTAGCGTCGTCCTTTACCCAGAGATTACCTTGCATGGGAAATACAGGGCTCACACGCACTAGTAATAGGAAGGGAGACATATGAGCACAATCACACACACTAATACAGGGCTCATACTAAATATCCACCCACACTTAAAGAGACTATTAAATAAAGAAACTATTAAACAGCTGATGGCACCTCACAAGGCATTAAAGGTGTTGGCACAGTACAATGCACACCATTAATTGAACTTTCATCCGTTTTGCATGTTCCTGCTTTTCCAGTCAATCTTGTGTCAATGAGTCATTTGATTGATGATTTAGATTGCCGGGTAGCCGTTGACCGAAAAATACGTCTAATTCAGGAGAGACATACAATGAGGAAGCTTGGGACTGGGACCAAGCATAATGGGCTATGATACATGGATCGTGAGGTGCTGAACCATGCAGTGTCTATGGTGTTAGAGTAATGATGTGATGCTTCTGCATTGTAGAATGGGGCACGTTACTTCTGATAAAACGAGCAAGTCTTTCCTGATGTAATGTATGGGGTGAATAAGAACAAACATTTGTGATCATCACTATTCTCTTTCTCAGCTGCTATACATATAAATGATGCAGGTATGGTCCCTTTGGGCCATAGCGCGCAAACGCACACACACACACCACAGCCCGACATATACCATCCTCGAAAGTAGCGAGTTGACACACGTAAATGAGATGATTGACCTTTGTTTTGATGGTACGAGTGTCATTTGTTGAGGCTCTTGACATGGTTATGACCCTAGGATGCCCTGCAGTAAGGAAGACGACACAGATCGGAGACGTGGACGGATGATCTTCACTCGAGTCGCCAACCACTGCCAAAGGTCCGGAGAGGAGAGAGAGCTCTCCTTCTCAAGCGTGCACTATGGACCAATTCGGTTCTCTCACTCCCTCCTATTACTAGTGCGTGTGAGCCGTGTATTTCCCATGCTGGTTGGTGTCCAATTTGGTCGAAGGTGCTGCTCTACGCGCCTAGGATGCTGCAAATGCTTCAATGCCTAAGGCGAGCTCGACGCTGCCAAAGACGCTGCCAAAGGCGTCGGAGGGTGCCCTCTGACGCTTTAGGGACGCCTTAAAAACAATTACTTAAACACAAGTTGCTTGAATTGATCATACTATGAAATGCCAAATATGTTTAAAAATATAATCATTATTCTATGTAGGGAAACATTCTTTATCGATTCCCATCGCTGCAACGCACTGCTTCCTCGAAAGGAGGTGGGAGTAGGGAATATGTTGGTACAAGATGGTCTACAATGTCGAGTGGCGTTGAAAAGTTTATGGAAGAGAAACCATGGGAATTCAGGTTGCTACTCACCGTTAGTCATTTGAAGCATTACTCTCTGAATTAAATTCTTGTTATTTCACCCTGAACTTGTATAATTGGCATATTTGTGCTTCAAAGTTTATCTTGGAATGGTATCTCACATTACACAATGAACTGCATTGGACTCCAGACCTAGAGATAACAATTGTTTGTGTTTTCGTTTGACACACTAGAGGGTATTGGTTATCACTCATGAGCTCTAAATTGTCATTCTTGAGATCTGCACTATGTCCTGTGGCCTTGCTGCTGTTTTCGTATTCTAATCTGGTTATTTTACAGTGAAGCAAATGCATTAGAGAGGGCAATGGTTGCTGGTTTGGGAGGACTCAATCTTTTTGGCGTCATAATTCTGGGAAACTTACTGAAGTACGAATTATAATTCTTTCCTTCAAAGTATCATTTTGTTTAATTGAATTTTCTTCTACTAAATTAATATTAATTGTGAAGGCAAATGACAATGACACCTGGTGGGCTTATCTCATTTGCTGCGCAGTTATTTCCCTTGCTTCAGGTATAACTGAACTTATTTCTTTATAAATGGGTTGATGCCATTCCTTTTGGGTGTGTTTGGTAGGTTTTACAAGTAAGATATTCCCACTGATACAAGAGTTAAGTTGTTTGGTAGCATGTTCGAGCCGTGCAAGCCATGCCCACCTTGTACCGCAAAGGCCTGATAGCCATGACCACCACAAAACCCAAGCAACCCACCCAGTTCCCTGCACAAGCGTGGCCCACCCCATCGGGCAACATCTCTCTCCCTCCCCCGCCGCCCCCTCCCTGCCGCCACCTCTCACTAGCTCTATCCCAAAAATGGAGCTCCTCCAGAAAGTAACCTGACTTTGTGTAGCTGACATGTTGGCCAGCTTGTGGGTCACACATGTCAGCCATCCTCAAGTCCGGTGACTTGAAGTCAGAGAATCCTAGTTCAGCCACACCGCACCCGCCCAGCAAAAACGAGATCCTCTCACATAGAAAAAGCTATGTCAGAGGGATGCCCGACGCATAGGACCTTTCATGCGCCATTCGATGGCACGGAGCAAATGCTTGCAGAAATAGAGCCCTGCGGTCAGACAGTGATGTGGCACTCGTTTGTGCCTTCGGCGGCGGCACGATCTCGACGGCATGGTGCAGCCTAGAAATAGAGAGCCCTGCTGTCAGACAATGACGCAACGCGGCGGCGCATGGTGCGGCTATGGCAGCGGCGCCACACGCCTCCTTCACCGGAGCTGGCATTGCCCCATATCAGGTCATTCTAGTGGTCCTTGTCGCAGAACACTCGCTTGGCGTGTAGGTGCCGATGTGGGTTGTGGACCTTGCTGCCCTCCCTGTGCAGGAACACGATGGAGTTGCCCGGCGAGGAGCTTCTTCTGGTTCACGAAGTTTCTCCTCCCCGAGTTGAGTGCACCAGCGCGGGGTAACTTGGTAGGTGTGATGGAACATGAAGTCGTCCGCGTGGATGTCCTTGAGATGTTCTGCACATGAGGCTCCTCATCGTGGTCCATTGCCGGGAAGATAGTCTCTGCGCAGAACCGCAACATCGAGAAGCACCCACGTCCACCACTGAGGCTAGGGCTGGTCGACCTGCAGCCAGGCTTCATTGGCGGTGTCACCCACGTCCACCACCGGGCTGCAAGGGACAAGCACCAGACCCACACCGCGGACGGGTCGACGACGTCCGTCGCTTGCTCCACGTGGTAGACGGCGGCGCTTGTAGGCGGGACGGGGTACATCCTACCTGAACAGGCGGCAGGCAAACCACAATTGATCCATGGTTCCAGCCAGCTGCTCACTGCTCGCCGGGCATGACAGCTCTATGGACGTGAGCATCTCTTTCCTTCCCTTGCAACCCTAGACTCGCGTGAACATGCGTATACGTTGCAGAGCTCGCCTGGTCGCAGAACCCCATGGCTGCACCACGCCGTCGAGGTCTCGCCGTCGTGCGAGGCACCAAGCGAGCACCACGTCCTTGTGTAGGCCGATTGTTGGACTCTGTTTCTGTGGCCGTTTGCTCCCTGCCGTTGGATGACGATATGGACGGTCCTATGCGTCGGACATCCCTTTGACGTAGTTTCCTCTATGTTAGAGGATCTCGTTCGGCCCCACCGGCCGTCTACCTCTAGCTCCTTGGCTGTTGACCCCTGCTCATGCTCCTCCGGATGCCATCATGTGCTCCAACTCCTCCGAACGCGACCTCCTCTAGCCGTCCCTTGGTCAAGCTCCTCAAGCTCCTCCGTCTGCCGTTCCCTGCTCAAGCTCCTCCGGCTGCCGTTCCCTGCTGAAGCTCCTCCTGCTGCCGTTCTCTGCTTCATCTCCTCCGACACTAGCTCCTCTAGCAGTCGTGCTCCTCCCTCGTCTACCTCACTTGTACGACGCTGTTGGTTGTTCTCCATCCCCAACAAGAAGGGAGCATGAAGTCTACCTGCCTGAGGGTTCTGTGCTCTGCCTCTCCTTTTCCGTTCTTGGTCTCGATCTCTATGTGGGAGCGGGCTCACCACAATCCATGGGTATTCAAATGAATACCCAAATCTTGTGGAAAACATCAATATGTACTTCTCTATATAATTAGAAAACAAAGAGAAATAACAACATGATCTAGTTTTAGCTTAGCTGGTTCTGACTATAAGGTGTTGAAATAAGCGATCAGGAGTTCAATACCTGCTACTAGCACTTTTTTGCTTGCATTTTTGAGATTATTTATTCTGATCAGCATTTCCCCCTTATGTTCTATAGTCGTAGCAATTGCTCCTATGTTTCTTAAGCAGAAGATCATTTGCCTTCTAATACTAGCACTTTTTTGCTTGTATTTATTTTCCTGGTAAATATATCAATGAGCATTTTACCATTATCTATACCAATATAAAAAGAGCGAGTTGTGGAGATCCAACAAATCTCGCCCGTTCAACTACATCTATCCAACGTTCTATGTCGCTCCGGTGTTTAGCATTAAACATGTTTAGCACCTTCCACTAATTAATATGAGGCCTAATATCGACATCAACATTAATCAAGTAGTTATATCCTACCTACTATTAATATGCAATTAATATCTTGCCTAATATTAATGTATAATCTAATTAATATTTTGCCTAATATTAACGCACATTGCACATACACAATTACTAGTATTCTATATATATCTTAGCAATTGTTTCTATGTTTCTTGAGCATAAGATCATTTGTCTTATAAAGTGTGCGCTTACCTGGCCAAAATTCCAATTGCACCTATATGGCTAATTTTTCTTGACAAGAAATTATTTTCACAGTAAAAAAATGTTTGAGGTATATTCTTTATAGATTTTGCAAAAGTAAAGTTTTTAGACAAAATTATCATTTTGGTGCCAAAATCCGCTTTTTGATTAATTTTATTTAAAAAATACTATTTGAATACCGATATCCAAAATCTTGGGTCCGCCCCTATCTCTATGCAGGCAGCAAGAAACTTCCAGATCTCTACCTCTCCCTCTGTTCTTGATTGTTGGGTGAATCCGTATCTTTGGCGCTGTATCTTTTTTTTGTTCTCCTTCGTGTGTTATGATCGAAGAGTAACAACATATAACTTTAGTTAATTGGGGAGGACTGAGGAGTGAGGACAATATATAGGCATTGCTTTGGAGAAAAGGTGTTCAATGTTCAATGAATATTTACAGAAATAGCTGGCAATCTATAATTTAGTTGCATTCTACGAAATAGCTGGCAATGTTCAATGTTCAGTTCTGCAGTATATTACAGACATCCAGGTGACAGTGCTTAGATCGTACTATATTACTGTACATCCAGATGACACTATATTTTATTATCCAGAAACAGTGACAGTGTTTGTATGCTGCTTATTTGGTACTTGTGTTGAGGGATGATGTTCTCCTCCTAGTGATGGTTTAGTCTAATGGTTTTGGTACTTATGAAATTTGAATCTATAACTCCCAGACTTTTGATGTGAATTTTACACTCTGCAAGAATTTGCAGAGCAATGTTGACGAATCTGAATCCAAGTTTGTGCAACATAGATTGTTCTGCAATATGTTTTTCTTGTTAAGATCTTGTCTTTGTTCAAATATTTCTGATATACTCCCTCCGTCCTAAAATAAGTGTCTCAACTTTGTACTAGCTCTAGTACAAATTTGTACTAAGCTCAAGACACTTATTTTGGGACGGAGGGAGTATTTGTTTCACGCTAAAATCTTACTAGAATTGTGTACCAAGTCCAAGAGATACACCCTACCAAACAAACTCTTGTCTCAGCATGCCTCAACAAATAACATCTTATCTCAGCATGTCTCAGTGGATACCGGCTACCAAACACATCAGGTTGTATACTCTCAGCATGTCTCATCGGAGAATAGCCATGTCAGGGTGATACCAGCTACTAAACACACCCCTTCATTACTCATTGTACAAGGCATATGTCTGAAAGAAATCATGAGCCCTTTCTCTTTTCTGAATGGCATTTCTGACTTCTGTATGTGTATGTAGCAAACTGTTGATTTCTAAATTATGTGTTAAACATACGATGAATATTATTGATGACATATTGATGAATATTACTCCCTCCTTTCCGGTTTATAGGGCTCATCTCAAAAAAATTTGTTTTTCCATTTTATAAGTCTCAGTTCTACTACTCATCATCACATGTTCAGATTTCAAGATGCATTAAATCACTGCATGCAAGGATCAAGAAAAAACTAACCAATGCATGTTGAAGTTTTTGGTCGTTTAATGGTCATGCATGCATGCATTGTAATTAAAAGTGTAGTATTTTTTTTTTGCAAACTACGAAATTTATTCCACCACTTACCATCTACCTTGGTTGGAGAGATTTACAAATTGAGCCCTATAAACCGGAAAGGAGGTAGTATTAATGATTACTGATCATTCATTCATTCTTAAAACATGTGACCATTTGTAGATATATGCTGGCTCCTTTTTTGCAATACCATTATTTAGATGGTTGCTGCTACGCAAGACCAACAATGACATTGCAAGGAGGAACAAGGCTAGAGAAGAGAGAGCCCAGGAACTTTTGTCGCCAGAACCTTCTCTCAGAAGAAAGGTAAGAACGATTAGGCTGCATTTGGCATTGCGGTGGGTTCTCACAATCCCGTTTGCCCCACCCTTGTTTGACCATTTTTGCCTACTTTCGTGCCTAACTTTACGCAGCAGATTATAATATAAGCATAACACAGCACAGTTCAGCAACCACAGATTGAGCCTTAAAAGTGTATAGCTTTCTGTTTTACTTACCTGAAAATTTCTAAAGTCCAGCAAACTTTAGCTCAACAGAAGTTATGTGGTTGCTGTTTACACACAAATGACATGTTTGGAGAAAGCCGGGTATATTCCAGAGCATTTCGCTTTGAACCTGATAGGCCGAAATTTGAATGGTGTCGATTGTTTACTCCCAGGTTCCCATGCATCATAAGGTTCTAAAAGAGTGCCACTTTTGACGGGCTAAACTAACAACAGCAAATAGAATTATTATGCAACTTGATCATCTCTTTCAACAGCTACAGGCTCCAGCAATGAGTGGCTATTGTTGGTATAAAGTGAAAATACATTGCAATCATGATAGTATCGCGTTATATTCTTGTAGCATGCTTCATTATTAGTTAGTATTATCAATCGGAGTTGTTTGTCATCTTGTCATCAAATTGCCTTGCTAGGTTGCCTTATTGATTTCTAGCAACTTACACTTGTTTTTTGTTGATTGGCATAAATTTTCAGTTGCTCAGTGCACGCGACATGGCTCAGTGGAAGGTGATTACACCAGGGGAGATTGTCTACACAACCGAAAAGGATCTATTGGATCAGAAATATGAAGTTAGGGAGTGGGAAAGGCGATTTAAGAAACTTGAGTCAGACTGATGGTAATGATGGATAATACTTGAGATTCATTTTTTTTGAAAAATAATACTTGAGATTCATATTATATATGGATGGTCCTTTGGTCGTCTGGCATCATTCTTGGATGGAGGATAGATCTGACCGAACCATTCAACCAAGTGGGCAGAATGCCTAGATGAGAGACTGGATGGTTCTTAGGCCCACTGATGTGCTGTGAAGTTTTTGCCGAAGCAGTCTTTAATACTACCATTCATCAAAGGTATTGCTGCTGCTGTACATATCTGTAACATTTAGTCTACACACATGTATATATAGTTGTAGATCAATGCACAGAAGCAGGGAATTGTAATTCAGAGCTAGGGAATTGAAATTCAGAACTGAACACCGGAACCGTAGGACATGTAAAGGATAATGCCCGTTAAACTGTTGTCTCCGATGGGTTATTCTGGATCTAGATTGATGACACTGGTGTTAATGTCTAATTCCATGATATATGCATGAGAGAATTCCACTCCTCAACTCTAAACCTACCACATGGTTTAAGATTCAACCCTGAACGGAAAACCGGTTATGGCACACCTTAAACTCTTGATACTGGTTAAATTACAGCCCCATGATGATTGGTAAGTGTTTTTTGCTCACATGGCATCATGTTGACAAGTGAAAGATGATATGGCATATAAATCGACAAAAAAAAATCTAAAACGAAGTTGGTGGTGCCATGTGCCATACACAAACCACCTTCCTAGTATTTTTTGTACTAAATGACCCTTCGTGATTTTTTTGAACAATTGAAGTCGCTCAACGCAAGTATACACTCATCCTTATGAAAGCATGCATATACATCCTACCCCTATGAAAGCATGCATACATACCCTACCCCTATGAGAGCACCTCCGAGAAACTGAGCTGACACACTATCTTGACATGGATGAAGTCGCTACAGACGCTTTCGTAGTCGACAAGCATGTTTCCTCCCACTGAATGCATATTGTTTGAAGGTTTGAAATAAATCTAGAAAAATACGAGCATCAATGTCAAAGTCTAAAAGCATCTCTAATAGATGACCCAAATTTGGAGATGAAAACTAGGTGACAAAGTGCAATTTACATCCTCAAAAAAGGGGCAACTCCAGCAAATGTTTATTGGTGATGTAAAAGTGCAACTATAATAGATGATGCAAAGTGAAGATGTAAAATGGGCCGATGGCCGCACGGCTGACTGTACAACCACATTTGAACATTCAAATAGTAATAAATTTTAGATTTCTACCAACAGAAGTTCATTGTATCAATCAAAGTTTGAAATCCTACAAGCAAATGTGCATTGCCTCAAACAAAGTTCTTGGCCCAACAAATTAAAGTGACATTGTGGACAGTGATATGATCATCATCAATGACTTTGAAAGTGCAACTAATCCTTAGATGGTTTTGTTAATTCATAGGACTTATGAATTAACAAAACCATCTAAGGATTAGTTGCACTTTCAAAGTCATTGATGATGATGATATCACTGTCCACAGTGTCACTTTAATTTGTTGGGCCAAGAACTTTGTTTGAGGCAATGCGCATTTGCTTGTAGGATTTCAAACTTTGATTGATACAATGAACTTTTGTTGGTAGAAATCTAAAATTTATTACTATTTGAATGTTCAAATGTGGTTGTACAGTCAGCCGTGCAGCCATCGGCCCATTTTACATCTCCACCGATATGGTTCTTGGTCCCATCGAGTTTGCCTGCCCAACCTTCCGTATCCAGTTGCAATTATTTCGGTCTCACCGTGATTTGAAATCGGTCCCAACGAGATGCTTGGCAAACCTTTTGTAACCTTGTTGCAATTATTTCGGTCCCACCGAGATTGCAATCAGTCCCATCGAGACAGCGTGCCAACCTTTTTGTTGCTTCATTTCTTCACCTAGGTCTTACTGAGTCAATGCAATCGGTGCCACCAAAACGAGGCTTGCCCTAACCATTGCGCATCGGTTCATCCGAGTTGTTCCACTCGGTCCCATCGAGATTCCTAACGTTCATATCTTTTACACAGATTGGTGCCGTCGAGATTTCTGATCGGTGTCACCGAGTTGGGTCAAAAGTGTGTAATGGTGGAATTTTGTGTGGAGGCTATTTATACCCCTCCACCCCCTCTTACTCAGTAAGAGAACCATCAGAACTTGCCTACACTTTCACTACTCATTTTCTGAGAGAGAACCACCTACTCATGTATTGAGATCAAGAGATTCCATTTCTACCATTTGAACCTTGATTTCTAGCCTTCTCCAAGTTACTTTCCACTCAATTCCTTCTTTCACCATAGCCAAATCTATGAGAGAGAGAGAGTTGAGTGTTGGGGAGACTATCATTTGAAGCACAAGAGAAAGGAGTTCATCATCAACACACTGTCTATTACCTTTTGGATAGTGCTGTCTCCTAGATTGGTTAGGTGTCACTTGGAAGCCTCCGACATGATGTGGAGTTGAACCAAGAAGTTTGTAAGGGCAAGGAGGTCGCCTACTTCGTGAAGATCTAGCCGAGTGAGGCAAGTCCTTCGTGGACAATGGCCATGGTGGGATAGACAAGGTTGCTTCTTCATGGAACCTTCGTGGGTGGAGCCCTCCATGGACTCGTGCAGTCGTTACCCTTTGTGGGTTGAAGTCTCCATCAACATGGACGTACGATAACACCACCTATTGGAACCATGCCAAAAATCACCGTGTCCCCATTGTGTTTGCTTTCTCCAAACCCTTCCCTTTACTTACATGTGCAATGTCTTACTTTTCGCTGCTATACTCTTAGAATTGCATGTGTAGGGTGTTGCTTGACTTTTCATAATTGCTAAAATCTGCCTACAACTAAAATTGGAAAAATGTTAGGTTTTATTTGGTCAAGTAGTCTAATCACCCCACCTCTAGACATACTTTCGATCCTACAAGTGGTATCAAAGCTTTGGTCTCCGTAAGCCTTGGTTTCCATTGCTTTGGTCACCACAGCCTTGGTTTCATAATGTAGGAGAGTATGGTGTCTAGTGAGGGTAATTATCACCGTAGAGGTCCATATTTTAATGGTACACATTTTGCTAGTTGGAAAGCATAAGATGAAAAATGCCTATTCTTGGTCATAACCCCGCCGTTTGGGTTATTGTTCATTGGCTTGCAAGGTGAATTCTTTGAGGATGGTAGAGAACAGGATCGTGAAGCGACCGTGAAAGAATTGAAGATGTTGCAATACAATGCTCAAGCTTGTGACATTCTCTTCAATGGTTTGTGCCCCAAGGAATTCAACAAAATCAACCGCCTTGAGAATGCAAAGAAAATTTGGGATACTTTGGTTGATATGCATGAAGGTACCGACTCCGTCAAGGAATCCAAGTCGGATGTGCTTTAGAGTCAACTTGAAAAATTCAAGATGAAGGATGGTGAAGGAGTCGCTGAAATGTACTCTAGGCTTGCTCTCATCACAAATGAGATTGCCGGCTTAGGAAGTGAATAAATGACTGACAATTTCATCATCAAGAAGATCCTTAAAGTCTTGGATGGTAAATATGATACCGTGTGCACTTTGATCCAAATGATGCCCAATTACAAAAATCTCAAGCCCACTGAAGTCAGAATTGTTGCTCATCAGATGTCACTCAAGGATAAGGAAGAGCTCCACAACAAGTCAAGTGGTGCATACAAAGCTTCAAGTGATGCTCCTACAACATCAAGTGACAAGCTAGTAGCCAATGAGGAATTGAGTCTAATGGTGAAAAACTTCAATAAATTCTACAAGAGTAGAAGTAAAGATAGAAGCTCCAAGTCAAGGTCCTACAATGAGAAAAGATCTTCTAGTCATGATCGTAGTTGCTACAATTCTGAAAGACCCGGACACTACTTCAATGAGTGTACGCCACCTTATAAGAAAAGAGAAGACTCACCTAAAAGGAGGAGTAGAAGAGATGAATCACCTCATAGAGAGAGGAGTAGAGATGATCGTTATGAACAACGACCCTCTCGAAGAAGTAAGGATTCAGAAAGGAAAGACAAGTCATCAAAGAGCTACACAAGACGAAGACATCAAGCTCATGTTGGTGAATGGGTTTCCGACTCCGACCCCGACACTCACTCCGGGAGAAGCTATCACTCCGACTCCGACTATACTCAAGATGAAGGTGTTGTCGGTCTTGCACTAGTGTCATCCTACTCCCACGACATATTTGATTCACCAAATGAAGGAATTGGAAGATGCTTCATGGCTAAAGGCCCCAAGGTATCACACCCCGAGTATCTTTATTTTAATAGTGATGAAGATGATTTGTAGGTGATGATGATTTGCTTGTTGATAAAGCTAGTAATGTGAGCTATAATGAACTTGCTAGTAATCATGACAGTCAAGATGAAACGAATGACAATGTTAAGAAGGAGATTGAGCGTCTAACTAAAATACTAAACACTCTTAAGTTAGCTCATGAAACAACTCGAGAGAATCTAAGAACTCATGAGAAGCTACGCTTTGAGAAGCTAAATTTAGAGCAAGAGCATGGGTTTCTAAAATCAATCAATGATGATCTTCAAAAAAAGAGTTCTACTTACATTGCCAAACGTCTTCTCTTGCTCACTTATATGCCACAAGTTAAACCTAGTAAAAAGAGTAAGAAAGATTCTTCTTCTAGTAGTAACAATAACATGCTAAATCCAATATTATTGCTACTAGTAATTCTCTTGATTCCACTAACGATTCTCTTAGCGAAGTCACACTTGATCAAGAAAATAGCTTACTGAAGGGAATTATAGAGAAAGGTGTTTACAAAAGTCTTGCCGAGTGACGGTGTCCTGGACTAGGGGGTACTCACCACATCGTCTCCCGATCAGTTGGATTGGATCGAGAACCCACAGGGCCATTTACTCATGGGACAGTTCGGACAGCCGATGACATGCACAGGAAAGATTCCACAAGACTTGGTGATCAATACAAGGACTCCTCTCCATCGGCGTATTCGACTAGGACTCTTGTTATCCTAGGCCTCTGGTACATTATATAAGCC